GCAGATGCAGAATTAAAGATAATATACATGTTAAGAAAATACCATTACGATATAGTATTTAAGTATTCATCCGCGATTGCATATAGTTCTGATTTATCTCATTTTCTAAATTATACAAATATGAGTAATTCAAAGTTAAATACGTGCAGGTCGTCCGGCTGCCGAAGCGGGGGTGCCATCCCCTCTGCAGAGGATCAAAATTGTGATGGCATGTCTTCGGATCATCCTCAGGGATGTTTCCCAGACCGTCGCCAATAGCCCATTGTGCAGCTCTAGTGCGACGTAAATGAACGAATCAAATCAAATCAATCAATCAAAGTTAAATACGTCGAACAGAAATTTAAATCGGGCTATCTTTTACCATATATAACAGAATTATTAAAAAAAAGGCTATATATTTTCGAAGTCCTGCTGGAATCGTAGACTTGACGACATATTTCGACATATAAGGAGAACATTCGTTCCTGAAAAGGAATAACTATCAGGGGTCGTTATAACTATCTATAGGAATAACTATCAGGGGTCGTTGAGTTGAGGGGTCTGTTTTGAGTTATGACAGGGAGAACAACACTGAGTAAAAATTTTCTGAAATAGCAGTGACAGTGGCTGTAACTTATTTTTAAATATAGCGAGATACAGAGGGATTTTTACTGTACTGATCAAGGTGCCCCTCACAACCTGGGAAGTGTGCATAGTTTAATTAGTCTTTTACTAACGTTCAAAACGTAGAAAATAAAATTATTAAAAAAAAAAGAAACTAGAATAACTGCATGTAAGCAAGTTCAGAGTCGTGGTGGCTCAGGGGATAAAGCTCTCGTCGCCCGATGAGATAACCTGAGTTCGAATCCCAGCGATGGCTGGTTGATACGAATTTCACACTGCAAAGGCAAATTTCTCCTGATACTTGATCCAGGAGTTCCCATGTCATCTGGATTGAGTTCAAAATTACGGAGTTGAAACGATAGTTGTTAAATCAAAATTGGGCTATAAAATACATCAAGAACAAAGATAATGAATAAAATTTTATATTAAGAAAGAATACTATATTAGGAAAACATCTTTATTAACTTAATTATAACATTTTAAGTTAAAGAAATATCATTAAAAATTTTAAAACGAAATATTAAGAAAAATGAATGAAATTATTAAGTGCGATCGCTCCTCAAAAAATTAAGTTAAAGCTCAACGACATTATTACAACTGTATTCAAACGGTATAAAGTGTTTTGAAATTTTTGTAAGCAATAGAATTCGTAATTATATATTTAATTTTAACTGAAAATAATAAATACAATGTATAAAATAAAAAGAAATTATTTTAAAGAACTCCGAAGGCAATGATGCTTTATCTGTGCAGCATAAATTGCAATTTGGCGGTCCTTTTTCTGAACTCCTACAACCACCCTGGTTAAAGTTAATATATATTATTTAACATTTTAATTTAATTAATAAATACAAATATAGTACTACAGAATATAAAAGTATTTTTCACCTCATTTCCAAAATAGGTAACCGGAATCTTAGCACAAAGTTATAATCGGAATAAAATCAGGCATACATTTTTCTCGAAAACAAAAATTTATGGTATTTCAAACTTACTCCTTGTCAGGGTTGGAGTTTTTGCCGGCAAAAAGGGGTTTTTGCCAGGACAGTGGCAAAAACCTGGTAAAAACCGGCAAAAACTGGTAAAAACCGGCAAAAACCAAATTATCTAAATTGCTGATTAAATATGATTACAAAATACTTGAAACAAATTTAAATCAATCATAAGGAATAATAATTTTGATACATTACATGAAAAAATTATTTTTAACACATTAATAATTAAGGCAATAATTTTTACAATACAGGCTTACAATAAAGGCAATAATTTTTAAAAGATTAAAAGTTTTTGACCTCTTTTCATTTTAGAATCCTTAAATAAATGTTTTTTTACAAATAAATAAATATTATTTGTATAATATTATTATTTATCATAAGAAATTATTATTTGTACAACTACACATATTGATAGATATTTTATGCTTTAAATTATAGTTATATTAATTTAAAATAAGTTCATTTCACTGGAAAAAAGAGAATGATCTCGAATTTTCCAATCAATAATGTTTTAAACTACTAAAATGATATATTATTGATTAAACTACTAAAATGATATAACTATTATGATTTAATTATGGAATAATAATTTTGTTAATTTTTTTGTAATTATTTATATTTATAGTATATATTTCAATTTTTGGAATAATTTTGTATCAAAAATGTGTTTTTGTTCTCTCATCTTGGAAAATATAGGTTTTTGCCAATTTGCTTGGCAAAAACCTGTTTTTGCCAGGACGGTTTTTACCGGTATTTACCATGGTTTTTTCCACCTGCGGCAAAATCTTGCCAACCCTGCTCCTTGTCAATGCAATTGTTTTTCTTTTTAATGTTAGGGTAAGTAAATTTAAAGTGAAAATCTTTTAAGGCTTTAAGTTCAGGATAGTCTTTTTTTCTTTCCTTTTAAACTAAGCACTACAAGTGAACTTTTTATGTGTATTGAATAATAATAAATATTAAATTTAATTCTATAGAATATCAGATGAGATTAACTTAAAATTTAGGAAAACATTGTTGTGAAACTAACTTTACGATGGGTCCTTTTTAAAATATTAATGGGTTTATATTTGCAATTCGGAAAATACGTATTGTTTAAAACCTGCAGGATTATTTAAGGCAGAATGTGAATAAAAGTATTTTTTTTATTAACATTTTTATGTTCTTCGTCTGGTTATTTCGTTTATAAACCTTATTTTGTAATTTTATATTTTTTTCATTTAAGGAGAAAAATTTAATCAAAGATAGGCAGCAAAACATTGTTCAAATTAAGAGGAATTATAGAGTAGTTAATGGTTTATAAAAGAGATAATAAAGAAGTCAATTAATTTCATGTATTATAGAGAAATGAATGAATGCGCATTGAATGTCTATAGGAAACACAGAAATTGCTGGAACCTTGGAGCAGGGGAAAAATTAGAGCTCGAATTAAAACAACGGAGCGCTCCGGACTCTAGGTTCAGCTCCAGGTCTCTGATTTGTTAAATTGAAATGAGTTGTAACTCAAATAATATAGTAATATATGAGTAACTATAGGTTATAATTATAGATGAGTAAATTACTTTCCTGAATTATAAATTATTTGATGAATTTTGAAGTTTGGAGGTGAGAATTATTAAAGAGCAGAAGTGTAAATTCATTTAATGAGTTATTAGGAGTAAATTAATTCCATTAGTAATTGAGATACTGGCTGAATCACAAAAAATTTAATTATTCTTTTTAAATTGTTAACTGCTCAGGTCCGTTGTTTGAACACATGTTTCGATATGTATTGTTTATTAATTTTTTTTAATTAATTCTAGTAGTTTATGCCATCCAGACTCATCTAATATACACGAACGCTGTTCGCGGGAAATTTTTTACTAATGTTACTAAAAAAGAAAAAAAATAATCTGCCTCTTCAAAGAAAGTTTTTTTTTCGAATTCCCGAGGGGAAAAAAATCGTTTTAAGCTTTTTCCTATGAATTCAAACTTGACACACATCGAGATTCCTATTTACGCGATTTAAGATCACGTATCATGTTTTGTATTCTTACGATTTTATATCAAATATCGCGTTTCGTATTCACGCAATTTGAAAGCCACTATTATGATTCATTTTCAAGTGACTTAAAAATTATACATAGGAATTTGTATTCACGTGATTAAAATTGAACACTGAGATTCGCATTTAGGCGATTTTAAAATTAAATATCGAGATTCGTATTCGCATGATTTAAAAATGACACATTGAGATTCATATTCACACAATTTCAATAAACAAATGAAATTTCACGTTGATATTTTTATTAAAACTTTGATAAAGTGTTTTAGCACATAACATTTTTGGATTTCATCTTTTTTGGTATTTTACCAAACTTGTCCTTGTGGTAAGAATCAAAAATAGAATTCTATAAAAATTACACATTTTCATAAAAAAATCGGTGAATTTCAAACAAATTTTGCCAAAATAAGGTTGAGACGAAAGGTTTGAAAACAAGTTACAGGAGTTAATGCACGCAGAAATTTTTTTCATTTAAATTTTGTGTTTCATTGAAGTTTTTCAGTTTACCTAACTCTGATGCCAGCTAAAATTTAATTGAGAATATCTTTCTTGTAAGAGGTTGATTGTACTTAATTGATTGATTATTAGATTGATTTATTACTTAAAAGCAATACAATAATACCTGAAAGCTACTAAATACAAAACTGTGCATGCAAATAATGACTTGTTTTTTTAGTACTGAAGAAGTTCTGTAGTTTAACTAAAATTTTGAAAGGCGTTAGTTTTCCTGAGACAAGTTACTTCAATCAACAATTAATAAAAAAATAAATTTTTATTTGGAAATTAAAGCATCTAAAAGTTCTAATTACCAAATATATAGTTTGAAATATATTTTTACACTCTCACTTACATTTCATAAAAATGTAAATTTGAAATGTTTTTAAACAATTTATAGTATTATAAGTTCAACTAAGTAATATTTTTATCTTGTGTTTATAGGTTTTATTGCCTTTTTTCTCATACGATAAATCTAACCTTATGATTTTGAAGTTATTAAGCTCTCCAAAAACCTCTCCATTTGCTACAAAATTACTGTAGAACAACTTGAAATTAATAATTTAAACCTTTTTCATAATTTGTTATCACTACAAGTAATTTACAGTTAAAAAAAATCCCTAAAGTTCCTCCCTCCATTTTTATTTTTATTATTGAAAATTCTGTAATTAAATCTCCCGATATTTCAACGATGTTTCGTCTCCAAAATCACTCCATTTTCTATTTTTAATTATTACCTTTAATTAAAAGGTAATAATTGACTTCTATTTGTTTAGTTAACTCTGTCAAAACATTCACGTTTTTTTTCTTTTTTAAAAAAATCTAGCAATAAACTAAATTTTTTCTTCCTGTTTTCTGTTCAGGCTATGTCAAAATTGGGAAATCGAGTAAAAAATGACAGCAGAAGCCTGAAAAAGTATCCCCTGGACACCAAGGAAGATCCTAGAAAGATATTCAACTTTGAATATTTGACTAATGTTAACACCATTTCTCACATTAAATACCATGGACGGGTCATGTTTATAATACGTGGAATTTTTTCCTCTAAGAAAACTAAACTCAGCGACCTCCTACAGGAAACATATCCAGGATCTTCTTACTGTTCGGGTGTTAGACTATTGGAGAAATTTGATCTTAAGGATGATCCATCAGTTCTTGATTCTAAAATTTCGAAAGCCACTATTGATGAATGTATAAAACTGTAAGTAATTTTCCGTCTACTTGGTTACATTATTATTACAATTATTGCTACTTAAGAAAGTGTCGTTTATTCAGTAATATTCGAATTATTATCAAGCTACGAAACTGAAATTTCCGAATTTGTGTCAATTAAAATTAATTTTTTCTCTTTTTTCTTTTCAGAATTTTTTTGATATAGTAAAGTAAAAGCAAACTTAAACGCATTTTGATGTAGTAGATTGCAAATATTTTAAGTAAATGTTTACTTCTTTTTTAATGAATTGTCAATTTTTGTATTATCACATTCCAATCTTTTCAAATTCTTTACTTTTGTCTTATTGATGCTTTGTAATCAGTAAATATTTAATTAATAATAATATTTTTTTAATATTTTATTTTCGTTCATTATCTTCTTTTTTCTCCCATTTTTATTTTATAGAATTACATGTATATGCTTAACTTATTGTAGTTAATTAAGTAATGTAAAACTAATTTTCAGTATATCCCAACATACTTTATATTTTAAAATGTTTTGGACTTGTATTATTTAATAATATTTTTTGGTTAGATATGTTAATATGCCTTAACGATATTTAACCAAGTTTTACAAACACTTTCAATTAACAGCTGAAATGTTTCAAAAATTATAATTTAATTAATACAAACTAATTATGACATAAATAAAATCTCGGTATTTTTTCAAGCTATACATCTTAAAATGTTAAAGACGGCAAATAATTGGTCAGTTAGATATGCAATGAATAATAAATTAGTTTAAATCAGAAAACATTTAAGAAAAAAAAAATATAGTAATTTCTCCGGACAGAACAAGTATACTTTAAGACTGGTGTATTTGAAATATTTTAAAAGAACGTAAAGCATTTAATTAAACGTAAAACTTAATGGGTGTAATTGAAATATATTTATTATCAGCAAAAAAGTTTACCTGTGTGGCCAATTAAAAATCATAAATTAACAGTTCAATGTTACTCTATTCACTGATCAGACTTTAAAAAAGAATCACATCCTCAAGAATATATTTATAAAAATATTTTCGATTAATGATTTAGAAAAGTCAATTGGTTAAAATCTTTGATTTTCATAAAAAGACCACAGTTGACTTATATAATGACTTTCTTTAAACATCACAGTTGATAAAAATTAATGATTTTTTTTTTAAAATTAAGTTTAAATCATGCTAACTTTGCGTCAATAATAAAAATTAATACAGAACGCAATTTTACAATAATTGCAATGGCATTAACTAAACAATCAATTTATGAAACAGTATATTAATCTATATTATTATTAATAAAGTAACATATAAATCAGTGGTTTCCAACTGGCGACCCGGGAGCCGCATCTGGCCAGCGAAGCCTTTTTTGTGGCCTGCGAACTAAAATATATCAGTTGTAATTTTTTTGCAGACAATTTTCGTAAAAAATCTATATGGGTTTAAAATACTTTTCTCGTTAATAAAAACCTTATTTCTTCGTTTCTGTGCACTTTATCATACCAACGGTGAAAAAAAATTATTTCTCAGGATTTGCATCCAAGAAAATATTTATTCAAATACAAAAATAATCGTGTATGTTACTCTTTTTTATTTCATTTTTTTGTATTTTGTGAATATAATTTAGCATCTGTGTATCAGAAATTTTCTCGAAGAAAATCTCCGATTTAACTTTTTGAAACCACTCATTTTGGACGAAAATATTTACACACACATTTGTAAATTTTAAATTTAAAATGTAAATATCTATTCTCTGGTGATTGCAGCAGACAAACCTCAATTTTGCCATTGAACATATTGTGTGCTACTATTTAAGTTTTAATACCAACCTTTTTAAAGTTTTATATCTTAACAATTAGATATCTGTTGCACATTAATTGTTTAATACATGAGTGCACATCAAAGTTATTGTAGCCCGAATTTTTAAATATGCAATTAAATATTTTTAAAAATCTACTTTTTATTTTAATTTGTAATTCAATACTTTTGTTTTGTACAACTTGGTAAAAATCTGACAGTAATATTTAATGTTACTTCAATCATAAAAGAGTCCTACATAAAATTTTGATAAAGTTGCGGCCCGACATTTGATTTGTGTTTTTAATTGTGACCCCCAGCCTCATGTAAGTTGGAAACACCTGATATAAATGTAAGCACCAGTTTGAAACATGGCATAGAAAATATATTTTGTAATTTAATAAACATTATTATTAGCGATGTGCCATTGTATTATAAACATCTCTTTCAGTGTAGAGGAAGCTTGCCGTTCCAGTCAGCCCACCATTGTAGTTCAAAACTCTCACATGAGAAAAATAGAAATGCTGGTTTTTTTAAAACTGGCAATAAAATATGATTACATCGTTATTGTAGCATCTACTATGCACAAATTTTATATCACGCCTGAGGTACGTTTAATTGTTTGTACTTTGCGAACCTTAGAATGTATAAGACCACAGTCATTTCTTGTTTTTCTCTAACTGTTACGGCTTTTAAAGTTATAGTACTTGGTGAATTCTTAAAAAAAATATGTTTTTGTTATTTTTTAGGCTGTGGCCAGGAGAAGTCATCTGAATACCACTTACATATACATAAGATTGAACCAGTGGGAAGATGTGCCACCCTTATTCACAGCATGGTTTATATCAGCAAATGATTCGGAATTCATGAGGGGCATCACATTTGAAAAACTAAAGGTTCTAAATAAAATAAAGCTATTTCGATCATGGTTTGAAACTGGTAAGTTGTTGGTGTGGCCTATATATTGGTGCACGTGTTGCTAGGCATAAAAGAAAAAAAATATTTGTTAACTGTTACAAATTTAATGTGATTTTTCCTGACAACATAAGTTTTAATAAGCACTTTCAGATAGATAAAAAAGTATAACAATTAGAAAAAAAGAGATAAAAGAAAAAAGGTTAATATTATAAAAATTATTTTAAAATATTACCCAAAAAAGAGCTGAAAATATCGCTATCTAAAAACCGAAACCAGGAACGCTTTTATCTGAATAACATTCTAACAACAAGAAATTTCACTATCATTTTATGCTACTTTAAATTACTTCCTATAAAGTTATGCAAATACAGGTTTTTGCATAACTAACAATATGAATAATAATTTGCATAATAATACAGGTTTTGCATAAAATATAAACATTGCTGTCTGTAAGTTGATATTATGTCTGCTATCGCCTTACACATATTTACTTTTTTTTAAACTACATATTTAGCAGTTTATAAATGCAGGGTTCTCCTTAACCTGGAGAAGAGATAAAACTGATAATAAAATCATTTCTTTTCTGATTTGTTTTCACAATGAACAAATTCCGCGATACCAAGACTTATTAACAGTTAATTTCCAAGTGTAGGAAACAGTCTTTATTATGAATTATAATTTTCAAGAAGTTTTAGTAGCCAAAGTTCTTTAATTTATTCCCAAACAAGTTAAATAGGAAATGGTTTTAATACCAGCTTTTTTTCTCTGGCACAAAACAGCCTTGTAAACGCTTGTTTACACTAGTGTAAGCTGATTAGAAATACGTAAAAGCAACTATATTTCGATTATTAGCTATTTATTTGATGAAGCAGTAGCATTTTGGTGGGGTAATACTTTACTATTTTGCTATTTGTGTTATCCTAATTAGCTGCAGAAAAAATATTTAGTTGAATGATTTGGCTGGATATTTAGGTTTTTTGTCGGAAATCAAATAAAATTTTGATATTTATTAGAACTTTATTTAGTTTTCTGAAATTTTGTTCTTTAAAATATCATGTCTGTTACCCTATCTGGTACTAATGTTAGATGCAAAGCATCTATTTAAAATGTAAAAGAAAAAGTAAGGAGTCCTGTTACTCTAACGACAATTTTCATCTCACCTGGGCAAGAAAGTATCAACTAAAAACAATTGAAAAATAAAGGGAACTGCATGAAAAAATTTAAAACAGTTGTAATTAGTAAAAATTTAAAACAGTATACAAAATTTAAAAATTAAATGCATTTAAATATTCTTAAAAATACCTTATGTGGCAATTAATTTTTCTTTATTCAATTTTCAAATGGCGCAGAATTACAAAAATGACCCATATAACATTGAATTTATTTGAGTAACTTTTTAGCCATAACCAACTATTAAAAATAATTTCTACTTAATATAATGCATTTTTAGATTTTAATTCATTTATTATTTTATTTAATAATAGCTCGAAAACTTTTAAATTGTAAGGTATAAAATTTTTGTATCATTTTAAAGAATGCAATTTTAATTAGAAAAATCTAAAATTTACGCGAAATTAGTCGAATAGTTCCTGAAAAATCGAATTTTTAAAATGCGATTTTTTTCAAAATTTGATTTATTAGAGTTCTGAATTTCATTCAAAAAGTTTACTTTCGAAATTTTGTAAATTAAAGTAACATTTAAAAAATTCATCAATGTTAAGTTGCTTTCTTTTGATAGTTCATAAAACCATTGACTAACTAGTCAAGTTTATTTTATTGATTTACGAGATACACTTACTGCACTTGAAATATATATAAATTCGCTGAAAAGTGATTTTAGCCTGTATGCTATTCTGCATTTGTTGGAATAGTTAATCTTTTTATAAACAATTAGATTTTTATGTTAAAAATCGTACTACTATAACCTTGGTAATGACAATTAATGATATTAAAATAATTTTGAGCCTGCATAAGAATTTATATGCAAGAGTATTATAAATTTGATTATTTAAATTTCATAAACTAATATTTGAATTAATTTACTTTTACTCTTTCATTAGTTTTCTGAATGTTTAAATACATTAAACTTTTAAATTGGTAAATATGTTTCTTAAAAGAAAATATAAATTTTATCAAAACATATAGTTGGAGAAAGTTTTTAAATAATTTTCACTTTTTATCAGACGTTGATAAAATTTTGTCACAAAAATGAATAAATAAATTGATAAGTTGCAATCTCTTATTTCGAGGGATATAGCTTATTTCATAATTTTTTTTTAGCATAACATAATTCAATTTACAAGCCTAAAATTTACAACATATTTAAAATAAGAAAAAACTATTATGTAAAATTAAGAAAATATGAAAAAAGTTATTAATAAAATAGTTAAAACTAGTTAAGCAATATATAAAGTAAGCAAAAAATATATTTTAATCTTTTCGCGACCTACGTGTGTATTTCTTTATATTTTTGATTATTATATTTTAGTGATGCTAAATGCTCAGTACCATATAGTATATAGATATTGCAAACAGACTAAATTACCTACTAGAACATAAAGTTTCATTTTCAATAATCATTTTGTAATTTTTTTTTAAATGTATCATTTAATTCTCTTATTTTTAACTTATTTTTATTTTAATTTGCGTGCTAATATTTAGATTTTTACATAAAATTGGAACGTAAACGTTTTTTAGATTGTAGTTATTGTGAAAAAAATCGCACTCACTTTTTAAATATAGGATCTCTCATTTGTGTTGAAATATTCTTTTGATTGATTTGTGTGTTTTTTGCCAGATTTTGTAGTTGCAAAATACTTTGTTTCACTTTAATGACGACAAGGACGGTTTTAATTTCATAGATGCAGTTATTTAAAAAAAATTATAGCGAATGCAGCACTGAACGTTACTTGAATTTAATTTCCCATTATTAAAAAAAAATATTGTTCAGAAAATAAAATTAAAAATCATTTATGTCTTTCATCTCTTCTTTTTTAAATTATTAACCATAAGAACTAACCCCCTCATAATATTGTTTTTGTTTGTTTACAGACGATGTTGCAAGCTATTTTCAGCCTCGAGCAAATTTGTGTTGTTTAGCTGGCTATTCTACAGATGAGGACGTGATGAAAAATTATTACCTTTCACAAGATGTAAGCTATTCGATTTTCGTTAAACTATTTGAAATTTATGGAAGACGAACACAATTTTCTTCAAGTGATAAAAAGCTCGCGTAGTCCTGCGCGAAATAAAAAAAAATGATGCTTATTAATCATTTGGGGGCCTAACCTTAAATAAGCTAATCAATTGCATGCTATATTTTAACTTCTGATATCAGACACAAAAACGACTTTCTTTGCCTAAACACATTTTTTTTTCTCGACATAATAGGATTCTTGTCCCTCAAAAAATTATGGGGGATATCTGGAAAATTTGGTCATGATATCGGTCGAAAGCTTAGACCACTTAATGTTTTTTACTTTTTACGTATTCCACAAAAAAAAAATTAATTTTTGATGATTAAATGTAATTTTTGTGCTAAAGAGTAGACCACTAAAAATTGAGAATCACCAATTTGAATTACCTTTTGAGATAAAATAAATATTTTTCAAAATATTATACTAATAATACTACTATACGTTCAGTTTTTTATTTTTTAACTTGGAAAATGTAATTTATTAGAATATGAAAAATACGGATGGTATTACATTAAGCAAACTGTTTTTATTTTGGACCGCGATCTCAATTAATAAAATTTACATTTTTAGAGGACACAGTTATTAAACATGAAATATTTTTAATTGAAGTGTGAGTAAACAGAATTTCCAAATGGGTATAGGGAATACCATGTGCTACGTTTTAATAAAGCAAACCAACATGAATACAGGTGCATTTTATTGTGTTGTGATCCACGTTGTTTTTGCTTTACTCACACTCTAAATTTATTAATTTATTTAAAAATTGCAAATTTTTTTATGACAAAATCTAAATATTGTTCCTTATAATACGTGGGTGTATATTTTCTTCCTCTATCGTCTCGTTCCTTCAATTTTCTTAGTGACAAAAAAAAANAAAAAAAAAAAAAAAAAAAAAAAAAAAAAAAAAAAAAAACTGTACAAAAATGACGCTTAAATTGTAAATTTCTGAAGACCTTAGAACATGTTATTGTCAGAATGCAAAAATTTCCCTTCCTAAGTTAGCTGAATCAGCATTTTTATTCTATAATATGGAATTCACCTAATATAAAGTAATAATAGGTATCATTAATATTTTTTTCCTAGTTGAATTGGTCTGCTGTTGAAAAATTAAAGATATCGTTATATTTAGAATATTGTTTCGATCTTGAACAGTAATTTCAATTACAAGTTATTGGTGTCTGAAAAGAAAGGCGAAATTTTAATTTAAAAATACTTTCAAAATGTAACCGTTTGTTAGCAGGGGTCTGTCTAGGTTTTTCTGAGAGGTACCTATTTTGTGAAAATTTAGACATAATTTGTGAAAAATTTAAAATTATATAAAAAAAATCAACACAAAAATATGGTAAAAATATGGATTTATCGTTTCTTAAGGGATACAAAAACAAAATTTTAAGAAAAAGTATTTTGTGAAACTACCGTTTTTCCTTAAGTTGAATTTGTGAAACTACCGTTTTTCCTAAAGTTGAATTTGTGAAGGTACCGCTAAAAGGTAGTAAATTCGGCCTGGACAGACCCCTGGTTAGGGACATTCTTCGACAAAGTAACGTAGCTGTGGCATCAAGAAAGGATGGAAAATTCTTTTCTGCTAACGTTTATTGCTACATTTTGAATTTCTAGCCTAACCTTCAAAAATATTTTTTAATGTAAATTTAAAATAATTTAGTCAATTAGCTTCTCATAATAGCATCAGTTACCATACCCATATCTGTTAGATAATTGATTTACACTTCGATATTTACAGCTTTTTTCGCTATTCCGTTGATATCTAGATCAAAGTATCTTCTTAAAAATAAAATCTCACAATCTGTCAATCATTATAATCTGTTTTGACATAATATCTTCAAATTTTCTATCCAGCTGGCTTTCTGGCTATTTTATTGATATCTAGATCAAGCAAACTATCTCCTTTAAAATAAAATCTCACAATCTGTTAATCATTAATCCGTTTTAACATATCTTCATTTTTTTTTTCCTATTCAGTTCGCATTCTCGCTATTCCATTGTTATCTAGATCAAGCTATCTTCTTAATAAAATCTCATATTGTGTGAATCATTAATCTGTTGTGACATAATATCTTCATATTTTCTATTCATTTCAAGGGCTACAATGAAATAATATTCAATTTTATTTCAGGTTCAAAAGGTGTATGGCAAGTGTTTCCCAATCTTTATCTTAGGATTTCTAATAACCAAATCTGATATCATAGGCGTGGCTCAAATAAGTACAGACGCAAAATCCCTTGTGATGGATGACTTGAACAAAAGCAGTAGAATTATTACGAGTGAAACACCTAGTGATATTTTACACTATGGAAGAACAACCCAGTTCCCCGAAAAAGCAAAATTACCACCGAAATCATCAGGATTCTGGATGAAAGGAAAAAAACTTTCTGCTGAAATATGTCGCCCTATTCACATAGCTCAGAAAGGCTTTGATGTCTTTAACATGGAAAAAGTGATCGAACAGTTCAAGGAAGGTCTACAGCTAATGTCTGATAGCGATGGCAGTTTGAATAAAAGATATTTCGAGTCAAAAATTTATAAACTAAATGATGATTTGTGGTTCACCAATGTTATGGAGATGATTTGTTTTTCAACTATTTTTACTGGATTTTATGTTTAACTACATAAGAAATGAAGGAATTAATCATTACTTCATTATTGTTTGTTAATGTTTAAGTATGCAATATTTTGAATTGTTTTTTCTTTATGTATAAGGGTTTATTATTTTATTAAAGTTAATTAGATATATTTGTTATTTGTTAAAATTTGATTTAAATTATATTAAACTATAAATTATATTCGCAACAAAACGAGCTTTTTGTGGTATTTTTTATTCAAAGGCAAGTGCATGTTTATATTTCTTTAACTCAACATTTTATATATTATCTAATTTATTTAGATGCGCACATTATAATATATTAAAAGAAAAATCCGTATAAACTGAAAAAGTTTAAATTAAATAATTTAAAAAAAATTGGGGAAAATTCTAAATACTTATATTTTTTCCTGAGCTTAGTTTTTAATTATCTTGAGTTAAGATAAAAGGAAGTTGATGTGATTGTAGATGTACTTATTTAATTAAAAACACATTTATATCCACACACACAAACATGTATATATATATTTACTGCACTTATGCTAGGCTGCAAGTATATAAAACTCATAAAATAAGTTTAAAATATAAAGAAAGTATGGAAAATAATAAAGATAAATGAAAAGAGAAGAATAAAAATTATTAAAATGAAATATTTAAAATAAATTAAAAAGCCGAAAACAAAATATAGATAATCTAAGGAAAAGATATAATTTCTTCATCAGCTCACATGATTATATCAGTAAAAAGTAGTGCTTTCTAATATTTTATCATTAAAGCCAAAGCAAAGTGTATCAATACAATAAAGTGAGGAGCACTATTTTCGTTATTTACTATATTTCGTTTTGTTCTGTATTTCTTTTACATTTTATTTTCTGTTTTTTGCTTGATATGTTTTATTTTGTATATATATATATATTTACTTAAGGTGTTATATTTTCATTTCAATTTTGAGAGCTCCTCAAAATATTGTATATATTTTGCTTTGCCTATATTGATACAATATTAGAAAGCACTTTTTTTGCGGATATAACTGTGTGAGCTGATGAGGAGATAATATCTTTTCATTATTGTGTTTTGCAATTTATAATTTTCTTAAAAAATAAATAAAATCTTTTTTATATACTTTTTAAAAATATTTCATTTTAATTATTTTTTTCCCTTCTCTTTTCATTTATCTTTATTATTTTCCATGTTTTCTTTTTAAGACCTAGCGAATGCATTTGTACGAAAGTCTCCCAATCCCTTTTTTAAATTCTCTTAATAAAAAAGCATAAATGAGATGCCCTCTTCGCTTGCATTACCTTTGTATTCTTCGAATGATTTAAATTTAAAGAGAAAATATGATGGATGGATATAAATGATGAATTGATTAAATTACGAGCACCATTCATGAAAAACTCACGATCGATAAATTGTGTTAGAAATTGGCGATCGTTTGGCGCTGAAAGCGAAAAATCTTGCACATCATTGCAACCCTTATTTCCACAGTTAAAATTTACTCCCTCTGTTCTAGAAATGACAACATCGAGAATGTCTGTTAGTAGCGAAGACTTCATTGTTTTAAACTTCGGATGAATATAATTGAGGATACAGTAAGGCCGAAGGTATTAATTTATGCCTTTCTTTTCATTTTCTCCTTCAACTACAACGCCCCGGAAATGCGTTATCCAGTTTGATAGAATGTGACCTACATTTAAAGGAGCAGGTAGACAGCTCAGAATATTCTTTATAGCTTCCCGAAAAATTAAGTTGTCTACTATATGAAAAGTTGAGTGTTAAATACAATTAGTATTCTGTTATGCAATTTCTTATGAATCCGGGAAAAATGTAGAAAAAGCTTAGAATGTTCTCTATAATGTTACTTTCAGAAAAATTAAAATGCCATGTAAAAAGATGACTGATTAATATAACTTTTCGATTATGCTTTTTTTCCCCTTTCATTTTTCTATGAATCAGGAAGAAAAAAAAATGCTATTTTTATAGATTTCTTTCTCAGCATTGTGAGTTCAGTATGTATTTTCCAGTTATTTATGTATCAGAAAAATACGGAAAAAAATGCATGTTGAATATGAAATCTTTTAATGAAGAAAATAATTTTTTTTCTGTAATGATTAAGATTTTTATCACTCAACTTTTATTTAAATCTAGACATTGTATCAAAATGAGTAATTGAGTAATTTAATAAAGTTCATTGGTTGGGTTAAGGCTCTATAATTAAGGATGGTCTTCTAAAACAATCATTGCTCTAATATATTTTAAATTAAATAATAAATGAGATTCGGCAGAACATTACTTAATTTTATTTTTAAAATTTAGTAGATTTAATATGTTATCTTAAATGTAGTTACCTTTTTCTTACTTTAAATTATAGGAAGTTGCATAGGAAATCCTTCATAATAGCTTTTATATTTTAAATACCATGTTCATATACACCAGTGTTTCCCAAATTGTGGTACGCGTACCCCCAGGGGTACGGGAACAATTTAGCGGGGGTTCGCGTTCTTATGCGAAATATCTTGCAACAAACGAAAATTTCAAAAAATTTATTTAAAAACCAAGATAGCCATGAAAATTTACGATTACGTATTTTTCTATTGGCTATTTTTTGCAGAATTAACAATTAATAATTAGTGGTGTCAACAGCTAGTAGTAATTTTTAACTTTTGTACAATTTTTTTATGGTAAAAAATACATTCATTTTCTGATTAGTGATACACAGCGTTATGAAAAATTTAGTAAGGGTACATAAAAGTTTGGGAAACACTGAATATACTATTAATTGAAAAGCTTGATGTTAAGTTTTTTTTTTCTTTTTAAAATTTTGGGAACATTAACATTAGAAAAATACAACATCTGAAGGAATATGTTTACGAAATACATTTTCCCATTAAAATATCTTCTTATTCAAGGTCAGACAGAAAACAATAATTTTCCTTAACATAACATATTATTAAACCGAAAATTTGGTCCTTTCTCAGTTTCGTTCCTACACTTGGTACCTTCTTCTAAGCTTTTGTATTTATAAATAAAATGTGACTGAATCAATACAAATTTTAATTATTTTTTACTCTAAAATTTAGCCATAAATATTTTTTTGATATGCATAATATTTGCCGGCAAAAGTTCTTAATTTAAGGATCTTAATCATATGATTAACTTGTTGGTTTACATCTTACAGTGTAGTTCATTTTTTAGATAAATTTTGTACAAATAATTGCTCTCCAATTTAACTGTGGAAGTACTTTTTAATGGAACTGCATGATTTTAGTTTGAAATATAGAGTTTGATAGATAATTAAGCCAAATTTTAAGTTATGAAATCTAATATTTCAACTCTATTTTGATGAATTATCAAAGAAAAATTCAATAACGTAATTCTAGATCGATTCTACACGACACTGAAATACCCTAATGATATTCATTTAGCGTGTGTATTTTGCTATGTTTGTAAGACACTTTTTAATTGCAATACATTGAGTATGCGATATCTTAAGCTTTGAGTATAGCACGGCATAATTTGACCGGGCTTGTTCCTTTTATATTGAATTTAGTTCAAACATTTATGTTGCCAGTTCATAGAAAAAATATCCAGCAATAAAGTTTTAACCCATAAAACGCAGCATTTTGTAATCATGGAAAAATGGTCGGGCATTGGCAAAATTAAATTTTCTAACGTTGGCAAAATATCGTGCTTGCATAATTTCAGTTCAAAATATCGATATTTATATCATTAAGATACTATAAACATGAATGCCTAGTTACACGTTTAACCTGTATAGATTTCAAGTATGGTATAAGTGAATCATCAATATTAATTTTTTCGAAAAATGTATGGAAATGTTGACTCGCAACGGATAATAATCGAAATTAATGTATCTAGGGCCAGTTCAAATAGGTTAAGTACGTAAGCTAAGAGTTGCGATTCGCTCATATTATTTTTGCTGACTAGGAGTAGTATATCCCTGCTTTTGTAGTTTACTCTTTCGATAAAATTCCTTATAAACTACAAACATCACATAAATTTTGAGGAAAAAAAAACATTTTGAAATGAAAAATCACGTAAGCATATTAAGGGATTCATGATTTGCTTTATTTTTCGCCTCCAAGTCCAAAATCACCAACAATACGTTACGCCAGTGGTACCCAAAGTGTGGTACGCGTATCCCCAGGGGTACGGGAACAGTTTAGCGGGGGTACGCGTTTTTATGCGAAATATCTTACAACAAACAAAAATTTCAAAAAATTTATTTAAAAACAAAACTAGCCATGAAAATTTACGATTACGTATTTTTCTATTGGCCATTTTTTGCAGAGTTAACAATTAATAATTAGTGGTGTCAACAGCTAGTAGTAATTTTTAACTTTTGTGCAATTTTTTTTATTGTAAAAATACATTCATTTTTTAATTAGTGGTACATAGCGTTACGAAAAATTTAGAAAGGGTACTCAAAAGGGGCCGTTCAAAAAGTACGTACATCCCGAAGGGGGGAGGGGATTTGCTATTATGTACGGTTTTGTACGATGGGGAGGGGGGAGGTATTATACAAAGTACGTACTTTATAAACATGCACCAAATTTAAATTTGACTTTATCCTACACACTCCTTAAGTAAATATTTAATTTTATTTAAAATATAATTATTTTAATTTTTATGAAAAAGGGGGGTAGGGGGGGGAGTAAGACCTTATGTACGGTAATGTACGAAGGGGGGGGGTTTAAAATTTCTCCATTTTTGTGTACGTACTTTTTGAACGGCCCCAAAGTCATAAGTTTGGGAAACACTGCGTTACGCAATATTTGAACGCCTGGATAGAAGTTCAGTAAAATTTATGTTTACCTTAAAAATTTCTGTTTGCGTTAATTATCACTGGAACAATTATTTCGCATAAACTTAAAGTGTTGAAGGGTATGCATTTATTTTCAATTATCTTCAAGCATCTAACAGAAAAGAATAAAAAAAATTTAAAATATTTATAATTTTTAGAGCAGCGGTTCCCAAATTTTTTTTCTTTTTTGGCTACGGAGCCCTGAGCTATTGAACTTTATTTGGTAATACCCCGACTTTTATTTATTTACTTTGGAAATTTCCTAAAACTGTTAAAGTGGTTATTCGAAAAAAAAAATTCTTCATATTTGAATTTGGTTACTTCATTTTGAATTTTAAAGTTAATCATTCCGTATGAATAGAAAGAGAAATACACGTGAAAAAAAATTTTTTTTTAATTTTTCTATTCTTTTTTTATTGTTAATTTAGTAAAATAAACGAATTATTAAATTAATAATAGATTATTGGTTGGATACAAACCTGTAACATATTTCAAAAATTACTAGCTCAAGAGAAATAAGTCCTAAATTACGGAGCATGTGTGACCTTCCCACGGAACACTAGGGTTCCACAGAACACCATTTGGAAACCGATATTTTAGAGTGTTATTTTTTTTTATCAACTCACCTATGATACAAAAATGTATTTTTTAGCTTCTAAAAAACAAAAACAATTCTGCAATATTTTTGATCTTGAAATAAAATAAGCTATTAATAAAAACGCAGCGATAAAAAAAAGATAATTTGTAAAATTTTTTTCTCACTTCTCACTCCAACCATTTAAAAAGAAAGAACATTTTTAGATAGTGTTGAATGAGATGAACCAGACTTTCCGAAGTAAATTTTTCTCCCTTTTATTTGGAAAATCTCCAAAACTTCCGTAGAACAGGTGGCGAAAGTGTTTTAGACTACGTGACGCCATTTTATGCTGATGATACACGAAATTTGCGTGTGAATGTTTGGGTGTAACGCATAAAATGTCTCATTTCAAAAGCCTAATAAAACACCATTGTTTTCCAGTTTCGTTGGGAATTTTTTGCGATGAAAAACTTAAAGTTGACACTTGTGATTGAACAGTTTCCAAAAAATGTCTAATGCTTTTATATTTCTTAAAGGATGGAAAAGTTGACACTTGTGATTGAACAGTTTCCAAAAAACGTCTAATGTTTTTATATTTCTTAAAGAAAGCCTATAAATCCTGAGGAAAATAAACTTTTAATATTTTTTGATGATGTAAATGCTATTTTTATTTCTGTTTCTTTCCTTAATTTTTTTTTTTTTTTTTTTTTTTTTTTTTTTTTTTTTTTTTTAGATTTTTAGCAGCGCTGCGTGGTTACTTTTGGATTCAATGCAGGGATTTTTTAAATCCTCTAGCATCTTTCCCGATTAGGTGCCCTAAAAACGATAGTATAATCAGTAGAAAAAAAATTAAATGTTTTTATTTACAATAAAAAAGGGGGAAGACATGCACTTAGAAAATTCTAAATCCAGTGGCGTACATAGATGAGACTTAGGAGCGCCCCTCTGCAAGAATTATAATACGCCACGCCCTATCTTAGACTTAATAAAATTTTTTAAAAAATTATAATCGGAGGCAAGAACACTATGAAGAGACATTCGGGGATATATAATTATTTATATTAATTTATATGTTTTAATTTAAATTATTTTAATATTAATTAATAATTTATTTAGAATTACGATGAAAAGGCCGAATTTAGGAAAAAGCACTAAATTGGAGCATTGTATACACTTACTGACTAATGAAGAAATAACTCACTTTCTTATAATAAATATATTCAAAGTTTAGTTAAAGGTTATTTTTATTTGTAAAGTGAATTAAAAATTATCTTATATATTATAAAAACCTTTATATTGAAAT